CAAATGCACAAAACATTAACATAAAATGCACTTGATATGCATCAAATTAACTTAATATTGAAAGTACAGGAGTAAAGAAATATAAAAGGTCAAAGTTTCCTTCTTAGGAAATTCTATATTAATGGAAAAGATGAAGGGTGTACCCAGAGTTATATATGAATAATCACACAATATTATGTCACATACTAAGATATTTTTAAAGGCCAACTGCATGTTTTTTTGTTTGCATTTTGTTTTATTTATTTATTTATTTTTTACAAACGATTTTTATTAACGGATATACGATAACAGAGTAACTTCTTGAGAATCAATACGCCTCAAGAAAAAGGCACATAAGTAACAGTAGAATAAGATACAGGCATAAGAGACAGAAACACGTACACAAATAAGGCAGTCAGTAAGAAATACAAAACAACCAAGCTGTTTACAAAAGTTCAAAGCATATCAAATTATAATAGACCATCAGACAATAAATGCCAATGTGTTTTCCAACCATCCCATTTTCTGTTGAACAAGTGCATCCTATCTAGCAGTGTATATTGAATACGTTCCATGAGCACAACCATGTCAACTCTCCATAGAACAGAGACCAAGGGAACCATCGATGACTTCCAATGAAGGGCAATGGCCCATACAGATGAGACACAAATCGCGTGGATTAGCCTCATCTTGTCGACAGGGACACCAGAAATGGGAGCACCCAATAAGCACATTTGAATAGACATAATTATCTAGACATAATTATGAAAAAACCAAGGTATAATCCACCTGGATGCACACAGTAGTTTTGATGATATGCACTGTTTCGCTAATTCATGTCAAAGTTGCAAAATTGTGCTTAGGCGTTAAGATTTGTTCTACCACGAAGGGGTTAAGGTGTTACAATGCACCCAAAAGCAGAAGCATAAATGGTCACTTATTGCTTCACAAAACCATATTAGAGCGTATAATTCATAACTATTTTAATACTAATGCGATCTTATTTACTGGGGAATGTTCATACTGTTTAAAAACCCTACCAAATCACAGTATGCATTTTTAAAATGGATGTTGTATCTTCTGGTAAATATCCAGCATTATGGCTTTTCATGCTGGGCAGTGATAATGATGCACAAGTTTATTATACTATCAAATAATACCTATAATGTGTTATTTGTCTTTTAAAACAAAACCCCATATTTGCTTTTCTTCTTGAACACAAGCAGAAGGCAGCTGTACAGCCAAAAGCCATTCTCTGTACTAGAAAACAGCTCAATCTTGTGTGAGCAGCAGCCTGCCTCTAATATCCAAAAGTCACTTCAGTCTCACTTTAATTATGGTCTTGGTTAGCTTTAGGAAAGTGGAACAAATTTATTAACAATTTTCATCAAAGGGCTTGAAAGTACACATGATCTAATGCACTGCAGATGGCCATCAAATTTAGCAAACACATTTCAGCCTTAAAACTTTGAGAAAGATCCTCCAAACCACATATTGTAAAGGCTTAGAATTAAAGCTGGTAACGTTGAGTTGTATGTGCCATGGCAGATGTGCAATTGTTCAACAAAATGTTATTTTATGCCAAAATCATTGTTAGCACATACAGCCATATTATCATAAAAATTTCTGCCAAAGTGATAAAACTATTTAATACATACATATGTAAAATTGTATGCTTTTTTTTGTAAAACAATCAAATCAACAAATACACAAGCTATACTAAAAACCTTTGCTACAGTGGTAGATCTTGTAATCGTTTACTAAAATTATGAATTTAAAGTGTTTATAAAGCTTTAAATTGATTTTGATTAAAATAATAAATATTATTAATGTTATACTTACTTGCTCTGTGCAGTGGTTTTGCACACAGCGGCCCTGTACCTCCTCTTGTGGGGTCCCCTATCAATGAGTGCCCCCATAGGAAGCCGTTTCCTATGTGGGAACTTGTGTACGCTCGATCCCGACAGATCGATCCTGATCTCTACAGCAGCCTTTCTCAATCAGGGTGCCTTGACATTCCTTCAGGGGTGCCTTGGTGAAATGTCTAAAAATTGTCCAAAACTTGTATACAAGCCAGCAGGTGGAACAAGCCTGCGTTTTAGTTACACAAACTCACATGTTTTCATTGTGAACCATTACAACATTCTAGCTGCCGGTGTCCTGACAACCAACGACATCATCAGTTGATAAGGAGGATGTCAGCTGCCTGCACAATATTTTAGTTTGACCCTCCCCTGCTCAGTGCTGTGGTCACTTTAGCTCAGTGTTGGAGAAAACTGAGGGAGAAGAGAAACAATGGAATACTAGTCAGTACCAGTGTGCAAAAGTGTATTTGCTTTGGAAGAATAAATAACCTGTAATGTTGGGTGTCCTACATGTGTGGATGTTGCTGTGTTATATAAAACGGTTGGAATCGTTTTTTCACATTTTAGAATGGGGTGCCCTTTTAAAATTATGGACAGTCTTGAGGCACCCTATTTTAGAATGGGGTGCCTCAAGATTGTCCGTAATTTTAAAGGGGGCCTTGACCTAAAAAAGGTTGAGAAAACACTGCTCTACAGACAGTCAGGCTTGGCACTGCCCCCTGCTCTCTCGGGTTTAGACCGTCAGCAACAAGAGCCAACAGCTCCCACTGCTCTTAGTCAAGTCAGTGAAAGCGGGGAGAGAGGGGAAGAGCTGCTGCAAACATGCACAGTGCTGGATCGAGATGGGACTCAGGTACATATTTAGGGAAGGGCTGTGGGGAAACTACGATTAAAAGGTTATTTACCATAATGCAGGCAATGCATCAAGGAAAAAAACCTTTTACCTTTACAACCACTTTAAATGATTCTAATACACAGTTTTTGATCTGAGCGCACAATAGTAGGGATCACCTCATTTAGACTAAGGGCAAGGACTTTGGCTAGGATTTTGACATATGAGTTAATTAATGAGATAGGATGGTAGGATTCGCAGTAGAGATGGGGTTTATGCGGTTTTGGAATAAGTGCAATTAATGCTTCAGACATAGAAGGGGTGCACACCAGTCCTCAAAGGCACAAGTAAAAACCTGGAGTAAAGGAGGAACTAGGACATCTTTATATAGCAGATCCCACTCTACAGGACAGCCATCCAGGCTTGGTGTTTTATTATGGGCAAAGGAATGCATGGCTAGCTCTATTTCTTCAGCTGTTAATGTCATTAGTGCATTGACAAGCCCAGCATGTGATACTGTAGATCCCTAAAGTCTATCAGTGGCACACTAACATTGAAACTGTGCACGTCCAATTAGTTCAGCGCCAAAAGAGAAGTAAATATAAAAGAAGTTGCGAGCGCTATGAAACTAAAGCAGCCACAGCATCAAAAAGGATACCAATAAACCTTACAATGGAGGTCCCGGCGGCCATCTTTTAATCCACCTCATGGTCAGTGTTTGTTTTGTTTATTTATCCTCACCTATGCTATACTGCTTAGAATAAAATCTTTTAAACGGTATCACGCTATTGGTCTCCTTTCTTTGTGGCCCTTGGTGAGTCACATATCACCTGTAGAGCCATCTTAGAGAGAGACTGTGGATTATCAGCAACATCCAGCGGGTGGAGGAATATCTGGTTTGACCTGACCTTAAAGAGCTATCAGTGGATCTTGTAGAGATAATTTATCTCTAAATGCGCAGTTTACGCTGTGCATCTGGTGAGTGCACAGCCTTATCCTTTTCACGTTCACCGCATAGAATCAGCACTTTGAAGGAGAGAAATTACCACAAAGACTGTTTTTGCACTGCATGTTACTCTGCTTACTGTTCAGGATCACATTAGTCACCTATGATCACTATATTGACATCTTGGATATTTTCATTACTTGTGATATAGCGCCAAAAGAGAAGTATTTACCTGATCTCTCTGCTTGCCATCCAGAACAATAGGGCTGGCAACATCAGCATCTGCAGGTAGTGGTAAAGCAGCAGGCAGGGGGGCACATACAATGTAATTATTCAAATCGCTTATAATATTTAGGGACAGGTTCCAGATTAAAATGCAAACACTTTTAGAGCTGCTATTACAACGTGAGCTTATTTTGATCTTTTAATTGCCATGATATATTACACATGAGGAACCCGAGTATATATATATATATATATATATATATGTATATACACACATATATACAATATGTCTTTGGCAGTCAAAAGATGAAACAGAAAGTATAATGTTTTGATCCATTTTATTTTAATAATTAGTTTTATGAGTTACTAAACCCAGGACCCTGCAGTCACTATATCTCATCTCTAACAGTACACAGAACATGGAAATGCAATTATTGTAATAAATATAAACTGCTAAATACCTTTTCTCATCAGTGTTCATCAGAGCACTGGTTAAAGCTTGCAGGAGGAGTTTTCTCTAGGAGGATATAGAACCCCTGACTTCTGTCTGGGCAGTACTGATTGGCCCTGTGCTGATCACATGCACTCTCCCAAGAAAGAAAAAAAAAACCTCTCTAGCAATACACACCAAATTGAGCATGTGCAGTGTCTCCACACGATATGTCTTATCAAGAGATAAAAGGGAGACACTGGAAGCAGGGGAGGATCAGAGAAGTCAGGATCAAACAGCATTCTTACGCAATGCAGAGGATTAACCACTCAGGATCTACAGTGAGTATAACAAGCATGCTTTACTGCATATACAGACTGATTTTACTGTTGTGTGTTTAGTAACACTTTAGGTTTATAAGCTGATGTTGATTTTTTTTAGTAACTAAAACAAAAACTTTTATTTCACAAATAATTTTTTTGTAAAGGGCTGCACAAATTATAGGTGCTATATAAAAACAGTATGATAATAATACAAATAAGCATTTATACCAGGATTTCTACTGTTTTCAAGCAAGCTAACCTTTCTACTGTCTGCATACTTTCTAGACGCCTCTGTATTACTGACATTACTGACACTATATCTGGTCTCCAACAGTACACAGACCATGGCAATGCAATTATTTTAGTAAATATACACTGCTAAATAGCTTTTCTCATCAATGTTCAGCAGAGCACTGGTTAAAGCTTGTAGGAGGAGTTTTCTCTAGGAGGATGCAGAACCCCTGACCTCTGTCTGGGCAGTGCTGATTGGCCCTGTGATAATCACATGCACTCTCCCAAGAAAAAAAAAAAAAAACTTCTCTAGCAATACACACCAAATTGAGCATGTGCAGTGTCTCCACATTATATGTCTTATCATGAAATAAGAGGGAGACACTGGAAGCAGGGGAGGATCAGAGAAGTCAGGATCAAACAGCATTCTTACACGATGTGAAGGATTAACCCCTTAGGTTCCACAGTGAGTATAACAAGCATGCTTTACTTTGTATACAGACTGATTTTACTGTTGTGTGTTTAGTAACACTTTAAGTTTATAAACTGATGTTGATTTTTATTTTTAGTAACTGAAACAAAACATTTATTTTACAAATCATTTTTTTGTAAAGGACTGCACAAATTATAGGCGCTATATAAATCCAGTATGATAATACAAATAAGCATTTATACCAGGCTTTCTACTGTTTTCAAGCAAGCTAACCTTTCTACTGTCTGCATACTTTCTAGACGCCTCTGTATTACTGACTAAGCAGATATGAGTACTGTAACAGATAATGTAATCTGATCTCTCCTGCTCTCTTACAACATATCTGTAAAAAATAATAATTGTGGATAAAGATGGCGTTGTAGCTTAGAGTTTGCCACCTGCTGACTCCATGAAGTAAGTGAAATATCATATATACATACTTGTTTATTCATATTTTCCAGAGCAATGATTCAAACATGAATTGTATTTTAGTATGCATCATAATTGCAAAGATATTACAAATAATAAGTATAGTAAATAATTTAAAGAAAATATATAAAAACATGATGTATTCCCTTTAAGCATTGTAAACAGGGAAACCGAAATAAAAGAGCCATACACAGTGACAAAAAGTCTAACTATGATTTATGAAACATGACCCAGAACAACACACATTAATTATGTAAACACATAAATAATCAAATTGTTTCCACATCATTTAAAAGGGTCACTAAGTCTTACCAATTTTAAGCAGATTGTTCTTCAGAAAAATGTTCTTGGCTTTTAAATCTCTGTGAAGAATTCTCCTAGATACACAAATAAGAGGGATCAAATGAAAATCAACACACAAAACATAAATCTGCTCTACTCATTTGTCTATACTGAAAGCACACATGATCTAACGCCAGGAAATCTGTCAAGCTAATAATTAGGCCAAGAAGATAATCATAATAAAAAAGAAGGAAACAAAATGATTAGGCAGGCAATATATGTAATTAAACTGACAACCAATATACAGAAAAAGAAAATGGATAAATAACAGAGATCCATTTGTAGTAACAAAAAAAAAAAACTTAAAACAATGTTAATTAAAGCATAAAGCATCAATAATCCAGGGAGTTCACATTGCATGATATAGTTGAGTGGCGGAACTGAGAAGTATAATCCATACATATTGTATTTAATCATACATGAGAGGATAAATGTGATGGAAAATTATACAAACTGGTCCTTTTAAACCTCTAGAGATAACTAATCCCAAACACAAAAGGTTTACTCAATGTCAAATAAAACTTTGTTTGTGTAAACTTTAGACATTGTTACAGCAATACTAAGCAGCCTCCTTGTACTGTATGAATCTCATCAAGTACAACAATTAAAGTGTATTTCCACTTTTTGCAGCCAAATTGGGATAACACTTCAAATACTTTCTACCTGCATTTGTTTTATGTTGCCATTAACATAGTACAATTTAAAAAATATTTCAAAATTGCTAATTACTTTTTTAAGTGCGTTTTACTTGATAACTTCATAATCCGTACATGCTCTCCATGCTTTGTCATATTAAGAAACGGGCTGTGGATTAATGTTTAACATAATTAAAGCGGTATTAAACCCACAAATTTAATATACTGCAGTTTACCAATAATTAGGTGTGGCGGCTGCATTAGTTCTTTTTTTAAGGCTTTTTCACCTGGTGATCTGGCCAGTAGCCTCCTGTATTAGATTACCTACACTCTAGATCAGGGGTCTCCATACTTTATATAGAAAGGGCCAATTTACTGTTCTTCAGACTTTAGGGGGGCCGGACTGTGGACATCGGGAATAGAAAATGTCACAGTATCAGTGGGAGCAAACAATGCCCCATTTTTGGTGCTAATGAGAGGAACTGTGCCCCATCGTTGTTTCACTGGGGAATCATGCCCCATCATAAGTGTAATTGGAAGGAATTTGCCCCATCATCGGTGCCATAGGGAGGAATTGTGCCCCATCATTGGTATCATTGGCAGGAATTGTGCTCCATCATTGTTGTCATTGGGAGGAATTGTGCTCCATCATCGGTGTCATTGGGAGGAATTGTGCCCCATCATTGGTGTCATTGGGAGGAATTGTACCCCATCATTGGTGTCATTGGGAGGAATTGTGCCCTTTCATCGGTGTCATTGGGAGGAATTGTGCCCCATCATTGGTGTCATTGGCAGGAATTGTGCTCCATCATCGTTGTCATTGGGAGGAATTGTACTCCATCATTGGTGTTATTGGGCCCAATTGTTGCTGTCATTGGGCGGAACTGTGCCCCATAGTTGGTGTCGTTGGAAAGGAATTGTGCCCCATCATCGCTATCATTGGGAGGAATTGTGCCCTATCATTGGTGTCATTGGGAGGAATTGTGCCCCATCACTGGTGTTATTGGGTCTAATTGTTGGTGTCATTGGGCGAGACTGTGCCCCCATAGTTGGTGTCGTTGGGAGGAATTGCAATATGAACACAGTGAGTGATCGGTAACAACCACTTACTATGTTAATTCATAACTGAAGCATAGTAAACTGTGTTTACTATGCTTAAGTTTGTGAATGAACAGGAAGCTGCTCAGCACAGAGTTCTTCCCATTAATTCACTTTCCAGCTGAAGCTTCTCTGTCTCTGTCTTCAGTCCCTTTCTTTATCTCAAAAGCGAGACAGCAGGGGTCTGTTTACACCACCGATATTTCACCAAAGCCCCAACAGGGCTTCTAAAAAAAACTGTAAAAAACAAAAATATTGTAAATAAATAATAAAATATAAAACAATTGCATAGTTGTTTTTTTTTAGAGTAAGAGCTGTAAAAAAATGTGGACTTCAACAGCAGTTAGGTGAAGCAAACTCTGTAGATTATTAAAAAAAGAAACACTGGATGTGTTTTCAAAAATATAATGGGCTATTATTTTTGTTTTGAGTATCTGATTACTTAGGGGATCAAGAAATAATATTTTCTCCTATTGCAGCAAATTGGAGCATGCTTTATAAGGGTTTTTAGCCTTCCAGTGAGTCAACTGCAAGATTAGAGTTCTGAGGATGACAGTTTTAAATCTATTTATTTTTGTCTTTTGGTTGAACTCCATGAACCTACATCTTTTTTCAACCTGGACAACCATGTAATGTTTTTAGTTATGTTCTTTAAAATGATGTTGTTGACAATCACTATTATAGAACAGCAAACTAATGACATCATTATCAATACGTCTGCATCTATATGTCATACATTTTTAAAAATTATAAGTAAATTAGAATGGGAATATGGATGATGATATCCTAATAATGCCCATAGCTACCAATTAGATTTCAGTTTTCTGTAATCAAAACAAAGAAAGATGAACTTTGGTTGTCATGGGTTGCTACACTCACATACACATTATTCCTTTCCAATGAATAAGCCATTATCATGTCACCAGAAGCATAATAGGCATAATATTAGCAGAATGAATCTCAGATATGTGCATCTCCATTATGCAATCACAATTTTGCTTTTATTATGATAATTTTATTATTATAATATATATATTGCTTTTATTCTTTATTTAATATTCTGTTTATTTTTTCATGCCTACTAGGTCTATTTTTGAACAATGTGATATTTCTTTTTTTCTCTAATGTGACTTGTTCCTGCCCAGAGCTCTTTCCACTCAAGGTGCATCTCTGCACACAGTGCAGCCCTTGATTAAACTGTTTATACAAAGAAAGCAGAAACATCAGTGACAACGAGATTGACACTTCTGCTTAAGCTGATCAGCAGCTGTTGTCTCCCAAGGATAGTAACAGGCATTTGACTGCAAGCACCCTATAAAAGCCAGGTTTTCAGTCTACAGTAGCCTGTGTATAATGATATGTCACATTCTTTACTGGTATCAAGTACTAGGTAGACAGAAAGATTACAATCTTGTATAGAACATCAGACCGAATGAATTGTATAAAGGAATAAAGCAGGGTTAGCATTTAGGGTCAGTTTAAAGAGCACACATACAGTAGATTGTTTAACTGTGTCTTTTTCTTCCATAATTTTTTTAAGCAAGAGGCTCATTTCAGATATTTTTGAGGGGTGTTCAAGTCAAATCGGGACTTTTAATTTTACAGATATAAAAAGGGATGCTAACTTGGTGGTACTACACTCAGTAGTAAGTGGCAAGTGTGTTCTATTACTGATAGGCAGTGCACATGCCGCGGGCTAGTCCAGAGACCATTAATAAAGATGGCAGACAACGTGTGTGCATGGAACAGCGTGTTGTGATGTTTCTTGTGAACAAAGGCACAAAACCTGCAGATATCTACAGAAGACTTCAAGAACAGTACAGTGATGAGATGCTCAGATGCAGTAAGACATTTGAATGGTGTAATTGATTCAAAGATGGCTGTTTGTCCGTCAGTGACGATCCCGGCCATAGTGGTTCCCAGCCTACAGCAGTCATTCCTGTGAACATTCAGCGTGTAGAACGCATGATCCTGGATAATTGACGTATAACCTGTCGTGAAATTGCAGAAGAGACTACTCTTTCTGTGAAACAGAACAGTGAACACAAATGAAGCACGCTGTCCTAGGATGGTTCAGACGTACTGACAAATCTTTCTATGTCAAAGCTTTCCAGGCATTAGTTGAATGCTGGGATAAAAATGTAGCAGGGGAGTATATTGAAAAATAAATGCAGTTTACACTCATTGAAATTAGTTTTTTCTTTATATAAACTGAAAAGTCCTGGTTTGACCAGAACACCCCTCGTATATATGTATTATTCATATATTTATTTCCACTTCTGCAGTGAAATTTGAAAAAACCCCACTATATGTTTGTTGTGTGTTCTCATTTACACAGCATGCCTAAAAATATTTTTAAAAAAATATTTCTTACCTTAAGGCCCCTTTCATATGAGGCAGAATCG